AAAACATATGCTGCTGAAATTGCCCACAACGTTAGTTCAAGGAATCGTATTGCAATACTTGAGAGGGCACAACAATTAAATGTCCGAGTCACAAACTCTAAAGCTCGCGTTAGAGCACAAGAAGTTGATTAAAGTTGTGACAGGTCCCCTGTGAAGGAGGTTGATTACGTTGCAATAATTTTTTGTCTCTTTTTTTCCAACTTGACCTTCAGTTAACATGCAAAAACTTTTTTTCCCGGGCTAATGTAATAATCATGTGATGATAAATGATAGCATCCCTTCAAAAAAAAAAAAAAAAGCTTTTCACACGTTTACTTCGAAAAAACTGTTATTATTTGTTATTATCACAAATGTTACAGAGAAGTATTGAATCGGGCCCACGAACATAGACTAAATTGTTTCAATGTGTTTCGTTATTTTCACTGTGACCGTTTTCATGATCGGAATGTTCCCAAGGATGCCGCAAACCCTAATTTCATAGATCGAACATTTTTAGAATAATGCATTTTGATTAATACGAGTATATTCATTTGTTTCGAACTTATTCTTACAAGAACTATAGGTGCTTCTTTTTTGCCGCGATATAACATCCCTATATTATAGTAAAAAAAATTTTAAATATCCTCAGACATGCCATTATGTTATAATATCAAAACGAAAATATTGCCTCGTACAGAAAAGCATACTTCCTCCTAGGAGTTTGCTCATAAAAACGTAACCCCTACTTGGAGTTGGAAAGTTTGTTCCAGCCATTTAATAGATGTTATTAACACTTAATTTTAAAAATTTTAGAAAGTCGAATTACTCAAATCCGTGGTCATTTATTCCGAAAATAAACATCGTGTGTATTTATGCACCTGATGCGTGGCTTTATTTGAAAGCTAAACTGACATGATATTTAAATTTATTATTAATTAATATTTAAACTATTATTTTAATATAAAATTTTAAAAAATAATAATAATATTTTTTTTTTTTTTTTTTTTTTTTTCCGTAGTCAAACAAGTGTGTATGTTTATTTTATTTTTTTTTTTTTTTAGGTGAAGGGTACGGGATGTACGGTATTTTTTATTGAGTTATTTATATCCAATTACATTACATTACATCAAAGGTCCATCTAAGCTAACCTGTACCTACCACCT